CAACAAGAGGAATGGCTGTGTTTATTGTTTAATGTTATATGGCCCCGGTTATGCACAGTATATATGTGACTGTACAAAAATGAAATGGAAAATAAAAACACATTTACAATTTTTTTTAAAAAAGAGAGAATATAAAAAAATTAAAAAAGAACAAAAAAAAAGATAAAAGAGTTCCAACTATAAGTAAGGAGATGTTTTCTGACAGTGAGAAGAATTAATCAATGGAACAGCTTGCTCCCATCACTGGAGGTTTTCAAAAATAGACTTGGCAACCATTCGACTGGAAGTGCAGTGATGGTGAACCTTTTTGCTGTTGTGTGCCAAAAATGTGAGGGCGTGTGCATGATAGCGCATGCACGTGCCGGCACCCATAATGCAAACCACGCCCCACATATGCATACCCCCCCCCACTCACCTACCCATATGTGCCACACTGCTCGCCTCCAAGCTGAGGTTGGTATTTCATCTGGGGAGCCATTTTCAGAAACGAACTTCCGATAGGCCAATTGGGCCTGTTTTTCGCCCTCCCTGGGGGAAATTGATGACTTTTCTGAAGCCTGGGGAGGGCGAAAATGGTTTCCCCTGCTCCCCCCCAGAAGGCCAAAAATCAGCTGGCCAACACGTTCACACATGCTGGAGCTGACAGCTCGCGTGCTGGCAGAGATGGCTTCGCATGTCACCTGTGGCACGCATGCCATAGGTTCGCCATCATGGATATAAGGTCTACTGGTTTGACAGGGGGTTGAACTAGAAGACCTCCAAGGTTTCCTCCAGCACTGTGTTCCTTGATTCAGCGTGAAGATATATTGATTGAAATCTTTCTATCTTCTTCAGAAAACAGAACCCAACTATAGGCAGTAAACCCACAACAAGAAGAAGAAATGTTAAGCCTGACTTACTTTTGATCATATTCACATCATTAGCACCATCCCCAATAGCCAAGGTTATGGCTTTCTTGTATCTCTTTACCAGGTCGACCACCATAGCTTTCTGTTTGGGGGTAACTCGGCAGCAAATCACAGCATTGCACTCGCAAGCTAAATCAACAAAGTTTCGCTGCTGTTGCTCCTTGTACAAGTCTATTCTTCGCTTTGTCTCCTTATGCTTTTCTTTCTCTTCTACTGTTTTGGGAAATTTCAGTTTCAGGAGCTTCTTTTTCTTCGTTTTCTTCTCCAGGAGGATTTCATTCTGTAAAAAAAAAAAATCATCTCTATAAATGTTTAGATAGATAGATAGATAGATAGATAGATAGATAGATAGATAGAT